ACTACTTTATTTTATATTTATTATCTCAGAATAATAAATACTGTAGAAATGCTTGACTTGCGTGACAGATGTGCCAAAAGTGCGTGGAGTTCCGCAAATTTGAGCTCAGTCTGAAATTTTGCTAGGTCAATTATTCTCGTCTCGTAAAACCTCGAAAATCCGAGTAAAATGCCTTATTTCGCTACTTGGAGTTCAAAAATGATGGCCGCACTTGTAATATTATCTGTGATAGCGTTTCGTATCATCGTTAAGTCTTATTTAATTTTAATAAATGTTCAATTTTCTGTTTATCGTAATAATTTGTTTTCGTTACAAGAAACGAAGATAAACCTTATACCGCTGCAATAGGGTCACTTCTTTTTTGGGGAACTAAGTAAACATCTCGAATTCGTCGTCGTTCAGCTGTTAACAGCTAGATGGCAGCTCATTGATTGGAAATTCAATATAAAATCAAAACGTCGTAAATTGATGATATTTAACTTTCAACGTTATGCCAACAGGGTAAAGTTTAAATTACATTAACAGTCCAGAATTTGTTATTTCTTTTTAAATTTTTAAACGACCAATCATTATTAATATTTCATAGTGTTTCAAGTTCTGAATGTGTGAGTTTTGGCGACAGCCAGCGGTTCGGGTAGTATTCGAGGCTTAAGGCACTTCCATTGAGAGAACTTGGTGTGAAGGGCTGGTGTCCGCAACTCGACGTCAAGGCGCCTATTATAGAATAGAATCATTTATTTCATTTTATCAGTTTCATAATAATTACAATTCGAAATGTAATGTCAAGGGATAACATGATCGTCATTAATGTAAATAATAATTTTATTGTTAATGTAAAATAAAATAATAAAAGAGAAATAAAGAAAAATACGAACTACAAAAATGCCAATAAAAATTTTAATATTTTCAAAATACAAACGTCCAGAATTAAAAATATAATTACAATTTCTTTAAAAGAAATTCCTCTACACTGTAGAATTCATTATCCAATAAAAGGTCTTTCAGTCGGGAACAAAACACTTCGTCATTTGTAACACTTTTTTGACTTCATCATATTATTATTCCTTGACATTATATTTTAAACTTTATATTAATATCATGAAATAAATTATTACGTTCTATTCTGTCTTAGGATAAGCTGAAGGTACCTAGTCTACAAATTTGAGTAATAATAAATAAATAATATATAATAAGTACGCATGTCATATAATGTGTTAGTCAGTAAGTTATCAGCGGCTTCTACGCCGAAAAAAGAGCTTTTTTCAAAATTTTGTCTCATTAGAAGATATCGGGATGAGTTAAAGGAGTAGGGCTGGGCTGTATTGTAATCGTAATTTATATTTTCAATACACCTCTTGAAGCTAAATGCAATTATTTTAATGATTTTATTATATAAAATTATTTAGATATACTTTAATTAAGACACATTGACTTACAATTATATGGACGTCGGGTCCGCGCTAAAAAGTGTCCGAACTTATAGGGCGTTAAAATCGTATACAGAGCGTTATTCACGCTTTAGTCTTCGTTTGTTCGACTGACAGCGAAGCAAGCAAAATTAGACAGTACTGCGATGACATTACAATTTAAATTCCACGGTTTAGCTTTTTCATATTCCTTTACATGTCATCACGTTTAAATAGGTTGACTTGGGACATTTTTTTCGTGGTTTTTGTATTAGACCCGTCGTCCATTTATTTGTAAGTCAATGTTAAGACAGCACGTATTTTGCTTAGCCTTGGGTAGATTGAGTAATGAGAAGACTTGTAATGGTCGCAGCGGCGCGGCTGCTGCAGCACATCCGGCTGCTGACGCTGTCGCCGGCGGCGTTCGCGGCGGGCCCGGCGCGGTCGCCGCTGCTGCCGCCGCGCGACGCCTTCGCGCTGCTCATGCGCGTCTCGCACCCCGCCACCGACACGCCGCTGCCGCCGGGGTACTCTGCCTCCAGGAGGAGGAGGATCCCGGTGATCTTATTCTCTTATTTATAGTTTCGGCCGCGCGCGTGCTATCTTCCTGGTCCATTGAAGATTGGCTGGACGAAGTCTCCAGTAGCGTCCTGAGCGGCCAGACCCCACTCACAGGTTAAAAGCCTTCAGCTCGCTATTGTGTAACGCCGTCAACTGCCGACCGCTAAATGTCCTTTTGGGAAAAAATCTTGTACAAATCTTGTGTTAATTCATTCAATCATTCGAGAAGATTGAACGATACGATGTGCATTCCTCACTGGATCCCCTGTGAGACATTGAATTAGAACGGGCAATGTGGTGGCAGCGCGGCGGCGAGTCGTGCTCGCACCGCGTGTCCATCCCGGTGGCGTCGCTGCGCGCAGGCGCGCCGGGCGTGCGATCCGTCGCCTTCTACACCCTCGACTATCGCTGGCAGCTGGTGCTCAAGCGGTTCGTGCGGCTCGACAAGGACAAAAACAAGTGCGTACAACACTCCACAACTCGCATCCTCAATTTTGTTTTATCAACACATTTTGTAGTAAGCGAAAATGACCTTACGACAAAATGTCCATCAGGACATATCAAATTTCCACTGTCGATATAAGGGTAATCATTTCGTCGATGTATCGAATTTTGAAGTGTCGTAAGCGACATTTTGTAACAAGGAACATTTTCCATTACGACAAAATGTTCCTTGCAACGTTTCAAATTTCCACAGTCGATAAAGTGTCACAACTCAAAAAAAAAAAAACTTTTTGGTAAACTGACAAAATATATTTTTTTTAACGGACACGCTCATAGTCCCGTGTGGACACCCACATAGACAACCACAAATTACACCTAAACTCACTAGAGAAATAACTGTAGTATATATAAATATTTCTTCCGGCCCGGAAATCGAACCCGGGAACTCTGCGTGGCAGTCCAGCATAGTTACCGTTCGGCCACGGAGGCAGTTAACATTCTGCCAAGCAGAGGTCGCGAGTTCAATTCCCGGGCCAGTCCTATATTTTTCTACGTTCTTTTGTTTATATGGGAAAGGCATTATAACCTGTGCCCGCACAGGGACCTATTCAGTCAGGTCCTTTTAAACCATTTAAACCATTTAAACCATTTATTTACCACACACAGTAATACGTACAGAACATAATAATATACAATATTGTGGGAACAACAATAGTGCGTGGAAGGAACAGGCTCAGTATAATCCTTGTGACTGTATGCCTCGCGGTACTGATTTTCAGCCTGACCTTGTTGACACATCGCTTTTCAACATAATCCAATTCAACGATACCATCGCCACGATAAACATCTAATACTAATAATTATATAGGCTGAATTTATTAATAACATTTAATAGATTAATTAAAAAAATAATAATTGTATGACTATGACTATGTCCGACTAATTGACATGTAATGAACAATAATAATATTATTAAAAAAATCTATATAAACCAGACAATATTCTAAGTTACACTTACGCTGGCTCGCTGTCTGCTCTGTCTCTAAACTAATAAGAAGAATGAAAAAAAAAACAGTTAATTTCACATAAATTAAATTAAAATAGCATTCTTCCCGTTTTGCTCGTACGAAGTTGTCCCGTTACAAGAAGGAGTTACATTACATAGGTCCTGACCCTAGATCAGCCCATTTGCACAGATTTCATCCGTCCTCAAAAGGTTAGTGCCGTGAGTGAACTGTCCCGGGTACACGTACAGCGCCCTCCCTATTGTCCCGGATACACGTACAGCGCCCTCCCTATTGTCCCGGATAGGTACCGGAGCTGTTGGCACGCTCACTTCCCGATGTGCATTAGCCATTTAAAAAATAAACATGAGACAATCCCTATATATTGGAATGTTTATAAAATAAACAGTTAAACAAGAAATGTTGTTCGTATTGATGACGATGATGAAATTGGTCCATACCAAGAAAACGTTCATACTTTAGGCTTATTATACTATGATAATACTATCTCACTGCTACGTCATTGCGACCATAGTTTGCTTTTAGGGTGCTATTAACTATCAACAACAACAACTTAAATTTTAAGTTGCCGCGATACTGAAGTGCCATATAGCACCTTGTGAAAGAGTTCGTCCAGGGTAAGTACTGTCACCTTACCTATTTCTGCCGCCAAGCAGTAATATCAGCATTACTGTGTTCCGGTTTTTAAGGGTAAGGGAGCTGGTGAAATTACAGGCACATGGGACTTGTCAACTTACGTCTCAGGGTGACGGGTGGCAGTGCCCCTAAGATCTTTGCGATTTAAAGCTCTGAGTGGCACTGCAACTGTTATGGGCAGGCGTGTAGTTTACTATCAGGCGTACGACTTGTTCGTCCCGTCACTTGATACTATTTATTTATTTTATTTTTGAGGGTACAAACAGCTTGTATCTCAATGTAATAGAAACTACATTAAATAATTATAAGCAAACGCCTCCCTACTGATAAAAATGCTATAGCAAAATTTTTTTTTCTTCTTTCCATAAAGGAAAAGGCAAAGGTTTTACACCATACAGCCAAGTCTTGGTACATTATTCTTTTTTGGTACATGAAGTTGCATTATGTTTCTGTAAATATGGCCGCCACAAAGAGGATAGGCAATTTGAGGCGCCGTGCTTGGATTGACTCGGGATTCCTTAAAACGGGCCGATACGGGTATTTTAGTTCGAGATTCGCATAATTTCGCGTTTTAATCTTCGATTAAGGCACAATAGCACTATCCTATTCCACTTTAAACTAGATTTCACAAAATAATTGAAAGTCAAAATAAAAACGACACTTTTCCCTCCAAAAGGTCCAGAGCGAATCCGCTATAGCAATAAACAACATTGACAACATTTTTTTTTTAATTTTTTAAACATGAAGTTTAATTGTTTCTGTGCATATGGCCGCCACAAAGAGGATAGGCAATTGGAGAATGAGGCGGCGTGTTTCGATTGACTCGGGATTCCATAGAACGGGCCGATACGGGTATTTTAGTTCCAGATTCGTGTAATTTCGCGTTTTAATTTTCGATTAAGGTACAATAGCACTATCCTATTCCACTTTAAACTAGATTTCACAAAATAATTGAAAGAGCGCATCACAGCCCAGAGCGAATCACATTGACAACACTAAACAACTAAACGACATTTTACACACACACATGACACATTATATAACTTTAGTAATAAAAAATGAATTGGATAACACCTTCTTAACGTGCGCAGAGTTTGTGTTAAACAAATCAAAATCGTAAAGAGCAGAAACTTTGTTAAAATTATTACTCGCACGCCATATAAAAGAATTCCGTTTGTAATTTTGTAAAGCGACAGGTAAATGAATTAGTGATTCGTTACGTAAATGCTTAGCTGGAACCCTTAAGTGAATCTCAGACAGAAGCTATTAAAAAAAAGAAATAAAACAGTCAGCAAATTGTTGAGGCTCGGTTACGAGGCAGTACGAATGGCATCCCTAGCACCCATGCCTCTAGATGACGCTGGGTGCAGCTGCACAAGGCACCAGGCCGATAGATGCGCCTCGCGCCGTTCTTCATGGGAGTCTCATTAATAAATATTAAAATCTACCTACCCTATTACAATAGTAGGCATAAAAAAGTGTCAGACCTGCAGAAACCTTTTTAAGAAATACAATATAATGACCATGTACTCACAATATATTTATGGTATAATAGTTTATGCGCGTCAAAACTTGGCTACTAATGAGTGACGTACGGGCGGAGGCCGAGCGTTACTAAACGCGGGAACACTAAAATCCGTTGCCCACCGTACCGAACTTGCAACTAGAAATCCGCGGGTAATAGGTCCTCGATTCTACGAACATCTACCCACAGACCTGAAAAGTGTTAGAAACGATGAAACGTTTTGTACCCGACTAAAAATCCTTTTATTGGATATTGAATTGTACAGTGTCGATGAGTTTCTTTTGAAACAATTTTAATTTTATTTTATTCGACAAGCAGTAGTTATACTACTTTATTTTATATTCATTATTATTATTACTATAATTTTATTACTGACGATCATGGTTATCCCTTGACATTGTATTTCCAATTGCAATATTGTGACATTGATAACATGAAATAAACGATTCTATTCTATTCTCTATTCTATTGTTACTAACATTAATTTTTAAGCTATATTTTTGCTAACACTAGGATGTTAAATAAGAAATTACTAACGAGGGTCTATTAAATGCCAGAAGCGACAGGCTGCAGGGTTTAATAACTCGAGTTTGTATTTTTTTACCGTCCGTGATGCATACAATGTTTTTCGTCAAATTTGCGAGGAAATAAATACAATATAAATATGGTTCAAAACAACAATTATGGATTTGGCAAATGGCGGGTTTTAGTTTTCATTTTTTTAAATTCTTCCATAGATAATACAACTCGGAACTAAAATCTTGTAAAAAGCATAATGCCATGATGGATTGTAAACAAAATTGGCAAATTTTTATTACAGAAAGTAATTGAAATCAATTATAAGAAAAACTTAATAATAAGGATTTAAGTAGTATGTGGCTGAACTGCAATTAAATTTCTGTTTAGATAACTTTTTAAGCGAAAATGTTTCAATTTCGAACTTAAGTAACCTACTTGCTTGAGCTTGAACCTGACCTATGAAGGAAGTGCTTTGTGCTACAAATGAAAAAGTCCTTACCAGCCATGGCTGTAATGGAAAGAAAAAAGGGCCCGTGGGTTTTATTTGGGGCATTATAGTCAAGTTAGCCGGTATGGAATTATATCATTTACAACCAAGTGTGACGAAAATGATTATTATTATTATTATTAAAATTATCGACAAAATTAAAAAGTTTATAAATATGCGTAGAGTGGAGTACTTGAGCGTGGGCCTGGCGTGCACGGTGATGTCCATGCGTCGCGGCTGGTGGCTCAACGTGCGCGCGCAACTGAAGCTTGCGCGTGCGTGGAACCTTGATCCTCTGCTGCGCGACCTCAGCATTAAGATTCGCCAGCCCGAGACCGACTAGTAAGTTAATCCTTAAGGTCCTCCTAGTTTCAGTTCTCCGCCGTTAACTTTATCGGCAGCAATGCAGCTCAGGACAAATCCACCATATCGAATTTTTATCAATTTGTTTCTCGCAAAAAATCTTGGCTAAGTTTTCGCACCTCCAGTAAAACACAACCTTAACTTCAAAAACTTGTGATCCCAAACCATTTTTAAAATGCTATTTATACGGACAAACAGAGACGCATTATGCATTGCTTCATTTTTCTATATAGAGCGTAACGCGTATTGAAATAGTATAACATTTAAGAGCTTTTCAAATGTGCTCAGTAGCCTTATATACAAAACTTTTAATTTATATTCTGTAAATTCTACAAAAAGTAAGTTAAGAAACTATTTCACCGGAGGTGCGATTTCTAGAACGGTTTTTCGTACTTACACAACGAACTTTGCCTAAGTCTGTAGAGGATTTCGACGAACCTGTTAAATAAAAAACAATCTATAGTTTAGTGTAAATATAAATAAATAAATAAATAAATAAATAACGCACAAATTCATCGCCCCGCACTAGGGAAATCCTGAATAGCGGGTGCCATAGACACATATAGACAACCACAAATTACACCCAGACTCACGAGAGAAAGAAATGTAGGCCATACAAATATTTCTCCCGGCCCGGGAATCGAACCTGGGACCTCTGCGTGGCAGACCAGCATGGTAACCGTTCAGCCACAGACGCGGTATGAATAAATACATATTTTTTAGTCCTACTGCGGTAGACAGAAACTATGGACTTCCTGCGCTAGCATCAGCCTAATCATCAGAGATCAGAATAAGTACAGGATATTCACCACAGACATATATGTAAATAGACACCACAATTAGGTACCTGGATCTGTATGAAAACCAAGCGTGCCACATTTTTTGTACTTCTGATGACGTCACAAGCGTTATTTAGTGATGGGAAACCTCCTTCGGCACTAAAACGATTGATTAAATCGAAGAATAATGATTTTTCAAGTATTTCTTGATTATTTATAAGAAGCCGTGAAATATTAATATAGTAAAATAATACCCCAATAAGTAAATTTGTTAACATGTGTTTTGAAACAAAGTTGTTACGAAAAATTAAAAAAGAAAAAGCAACAAACTTTATACTTTTTCTAAGGTCTTAAGAATTATCATCCTTTTGGTACCTAAATCGATCAGAATCGAGACTTTAATTTGTGGTTGTCTGTGTATGTGTCCATGGCACCCGCGACACGGTCGGCCCAGTGCTTGTCTATTGTGTGCGTTATTTATTTATTATTATTATTATTCATGTTAACAAAATAAAACGATTATTATTAAATTTCCAGCGGAGAAGTAACGAATATGTGTGAGAAGTTCATAAGATGGGATAAGCTGGTGGATCCGCAGCGCGGCTTCGTGGTCGAGGGTCACTTCACCCTCGAGGCCCAGCTGCAGCTCGAGGCGGCCGACGCAATGTGTGCCTCTCGCTCCGTTATTACCGCCTCCAAAACGCCCAAAACTTCTAAAACGGTTCCCCCTAACCCAAGCTCAGACCTTGCGGGCCTGGATGCTTTACGACATATGTTTGACTAAAAAATTTAACCGTGAAAAGTTTATGTTTGCCTTTTTGACCTTCTCTTCTGAAGAAACAGATTTGAAGTGAAAATATTTTTTCGGATCGTAATCATCATCTAGTTTGGGATCCAGTGTCTCCTGCGATGAAAAATTGCAAGCAGACACAAGACTACAATACTACTTATTAACATGTTTTATGTTATTTCTAATTAAATAATAATAAAAAAAACATGTAGTAAAAATTAACATTGTTAAAATAAAATATTTTGTTAAACGTGTATACCGTAAATTGGAATGTTCTTTGGTAAATTAAAAATTAAGTATTTAATTTGATCACTTTTGTGACTATAGTGAAAAATAAGATGGTTCGCATTAAAGCGAAGCCACATGGGCGTTGTCGGTGCGTTGCGTCGTTGCAACTCTATGATTTCAACGCACCGAGTCCACGCACCATGCAGTGTCGCAAAGTAACACCGCTTACAACTTCTCCCTGCTTCGTCTCCTGGTTCCTTGTCCAATGCGCACGCGTTCTGTCGCCGCGCACCATGTGTCATGTAGTTTTAATTTATATGTAGTACAACGTCGCATCACCGGTCAGGCGTTGCAACGCCGTCGCAACGCATCGTGTGGCATCGCTCTTAATGTTAGATTGGTTGGTGACTTTACCATCTAAGTCAGCTGTAACCATGGATCCCGAAACGTTGGTTTGTTTGCGAAAACAAATTCACGCCATTCAGTTCCGAAAAAATAGATTTCCAGACTTTATTAAAAAAAAATGATCTTCGACGAAGAAGTGGTCAGGCAGTGCTGTCAAATTATTTTTTGTATTGTTAATAGAAAAGGGTGCAAATCGAATATGTCCGCTTTTGCGAATACATTGCATCGGCTAGTAAACACTATTCTGAAAGTTTCTTTGGATTTGACAGGATTCGAACCTGTGTATGCCAATCTAGGCCAACCTCTACCAATTGAGCCACAGACCGAATCGGCAGACCCTACGATAAGATACGTTCTTTTTGTTTGATTTTCGTATTACAGGCCTACCGCTTAATTGAGTTGGTTCGTGAGGTAGCTGTGCGGTGCGGGAGGAGTGACAGGATACGTAACAGTATATCGCGCTGCACACGGGATAATTTCAACAAGATTTTTCTTACGATGTTTATAACAAATTGATTGAAATTATCGTTTCACATAACAACACTTCCATCAACTTATTACTGAATATTGTCAGAAAAATCTTATTGAAATTATCTCGTGTGCAGCGCGACAACTGTGACGTAAACTGCCACCCCTCCCGCACGGCGCAGCTACCTCAGGAACCGACTCAGTTAGGCGGGAAGTCTGTAATATTATAACAAAGGTGTGGAGTAATTTCACAAATAATAAATAAATATCATGGTAGTGAATCATCATTATATTCTATATAACTTTTAATAGGGTTGAAAAATCAGACAGTGTGCTTTCCGATTCTTTGTATAAAGCAGTGGCGAAGAGTACGTGTAGTTAGCTTCTCTTAAGGAATTGATTAATCGAGACAATATACAATACCGATTCTATAAAAAGTACATTTTAACTTCATTCTGAACATATGGAACGCCTGACTACTTTGTCCGGCAATCTATCCGTGCAACGCGTAATTTTAACAAAACGCCTGATGGTTTTGTCCGACGAGACAAGGTGCCGTCGTTGAGTTCCTTTGCTATAATAAACTCCACTGAGCAACTGTCTCTGTCACTCTTATGCAAAACGACTATATTCCGTATTGTTTTAATTACACGAATTTATATGCCAGGTTAACTCGATTGACATAGATTATGTCAGAGGTAGAGTAATTAGCAATGTACGCAAGCGAGAAAGGTAGATTTTCTTATTTCGGTGATAAAGAGTGGAAGTTGCTTTGATATTATAACAAATACCGAGACAGTATACAGTCTTTTTATTACTCGCTTTGTTATAATATGTCTATATTGAAAGTAATAATGGTTAAAAATTAAGCTAGTACTATTAAGTTTTAGAAATAATTGTTTAAGTAAATGTCTGTGATTTATAATGTTTTTGTTGGTTATTTTAGCGTTTAACCAGTGTCAATACAACATTACGGCGTTTTTCTGAAATCTCCGACCAGGCTGTGAGCCGGCTTATTTTTTATTTGCTCTTCGCCACTGGTGTAAAGGCAGGCGTAGTATCTGAAAATTAAGTATTTTTTATTTTTAAATCAGTTTTGTAATTTGTTATCATTATTTTTGTTTAATGTATACCCATTTATTATTTTCTATAGTTTTATTTTAAGTTGCAGTGGTATTTATAAGCATGTTGTTAATGTAAAGCTTGTTAAATATAATACCTTTTTGGGATGTCTAGAAATAAATATTATGGAACTTTGTCAATTCTCACCTTCAATAATAAAGTGATCTAATTCGTGAAGTAATTTTTGGGAGACTGACAAAATAGATTTAAAAAATTAACGTTCGTAATATATGCCATTTGGGTGTTGCCAAATATGACAAATCAACATTAGTTTTATTTCGTCCGTTATTAAAAAAAAAAAGTGTGAATACAAGGGAGTCACAACACCTGTCGATGCAGAATTGGCTTGAGCCGGTTAGAAAAATTTATGACATCGTAAAATAACGAAAAGAAAACGTGCGTTTAAATTTAGTTAATCAAAGTCAAATATTTTTAATTTAGTTAATCGAGTCAAAGTCAAGTAAATTATTCCATAGCTAACATTTTTACACTTAAAAGGTCATTTTTTAAGCAACTGCTCGGTCACTGCACTGACTTGTCCTGTACTTGTGCCTAGATAATAAATGATTGTAATATGAGTAAATAAATAAATTTAAAAAAACTGAGAAGAACGAGCAAGAAACTCTAGGGATTGCTCGTTTCGAATAAACTCAAATACTATGGAATACACTTTGAATAATATTTGTGTGGAATCTGGACTTGTATCGTCTTTCCATACATCTTTATCGTCAATTTTGAAATATCGTCTCCTTACTTTCTCAAATTCGTATTTTAAAGGACAAAGTTACTGAAATGCAAAACATAGATTGTACATCATTGACTTAGAAATAAATGGACGACGGGTCTAATACATAAACCACGAAAAAATGTCCCAAGTCAACCTATTGAAACGTAGTGACATGTAAAGGAATATGAAAAAGCTAAAACGTTGAATTTAAATTGTAATGTCATCGCAGTACTGTCTAATTTTGCTTGCTTCGCTGCCAGAAGAAACAAACGAAGACTAAAGCGTGAATGACGCTCTGTATACGATTTTAACGTCCTATAGGTTCGGACACTTTTTAGCGCGGACCCGACGTCCATATAATCAATGTTGTACATACTAATTTTGCAGGCTGATTTCAGACCACATTTCCTTCATATTTGCACCCTGGCTTTAACCTATTTTTAAAGTAATGCATCCAAGTTAACATCCTTGATATGAAATTTAAAATAAATAGAAAGTTTTGCCATCTGAATAATCACCCTTTATAAGATACGAGTTTGAGAAAGTAAGGTATCGATGTGACTTCAATTAAAATACTTTAGATGTAAATTTTTACATTTTTGTTTAAAAACGAGTCAAAGCGAAACGTCTTTCGCTCTTGTTGCATGGACGTATAGCTTTTGCGATTCCACGTCGATAAGTTGCACCATTGGTGTAATAAAGTCACATCTGCAAAATGATAACTCCTTTTTGTGAACGTAAATCGGTAACTCTTACACTTAAATACAGCTGTAAAATTTCACGTAAATTTAATTTCTTTCATATACTTCTTAATATTTTTATGACTTTCAGATGAATGTGGTTTTATTATACCAAAGGTACAAAGTGTGGTGACTCCGTTAAGTCATTTTATTGTTGAGAGTGTGATTTGTTCTCAATGTTGATGTTTTTTTTTTATTATTTAATTAGATAGTGAAGGGAAACGTTTGAGAGAAATGTTACGAGTCGAAAATTTACTCATCTCTAGAGAATACCGTTGCATACAGTCATATATAAGTAGATTCATCGATTTTAAAAAGGATTTATAATCGACATTACCAATTCTGGTACAGTTCGCTTCAATGTTTTATTTGACTCTGAATTACGGACTGATTAAAGGTATTTTTTTTAATTCACAACTTTTGAACAGTACGGCGAGATCATTTTGACGCCGACTATACTACACAAATCTTATCACAGACCAGCAAACGCGGTCTTATACAAGCACACTTTATTTTTGAGTGCGAAAATATCCAGAAAAACAAGTGACGAATAAAGAATAAAATGGAGGGATTTGTGCATAGGTAATACACGTTTGTGTAAACTTGTAAGTCAAATTAACACAAATGTATATTCCCTTCAGGATTAAACGGGCATTGGAGAAGCCAAAACAACCGCATTCCGCATTTATGATATGGCTGAGTCAACGTCGGAATCAGGTGAAGGGCGGCAGCTCTGAGCAACTCAAGGAGGCGGAGATCGCTACGAAAGGCAGAGAATTGTGGAGTTTCATGTCCCGGGATGACAAATTTGAAGCCGCGAAAGCTTATTACGAAGTTGCTTTGAATCGCGATCGGCACACCGCCGTTGCTAGCTCCAGCAGTCCAGAGGAGCCAGAAAAGAAGAAAAAGGTACAGAAAGTCGTGCAATCTAATGACGATAATGAAGATGATGAGCCTGGATATTGTTCATCATGTAGCGAGTCTTCTTAAATAATGACAGAATTTCTTCTTTTACTTTGCTGGCCTCGCGCGAATTAATTTAAAAATTTAGTTGACAAGAGACCTGTCATAAGGGGGTTATCGCACTTATCGGGAACGACTTGAACCGCTCAGTCAAAGCTACTGTTGGGTGATTTTCCGAAAAATTCCAAATAGTGGAAATTCTTCCGAAAATGTTCCCGAGAAATTGGAAAAATTTGAAAAATATAATGTCGAAAGCTCAAAATATTATGTTCTACGTTTAACATCTTTTGAAGTTTTGTTTAGCGTGAATTATAAAATAAACTTCTATAGCCAAAAGCCACATAAAGAAAAACGAGATTTAAAATGATTTCACAACAGCGAAAAATATTTTTTAAATGGCTCCATCGTCATTGTTCAGTAACTTGACAAGTGTTAACGTCAAATGTGGAAAAATAAAGGAATAATATCTATTATTCTGAAAAATAGATTTTTTCAAAATGGAAATTTTCATGACCTAACGTAAGGACGTTGTCGACAAGAGATGATGCGGCTCCACTTAGGTGAAACACACTTTTCTTGTCTTTCGCTTTTAATAAATCTTTTTTTGCTCAAGCCAATTATGCGTCGATAAGTGTGATAATTCCTTAAAATACCAAAGCCTAGAGTGCTCCATTCTCGTAATTCCAGCTGCTCTCGAAAATACCAATTCTAAAATCACCGTTGATTGCTTTGTAGTTTGTTTTGAGAATGTCCTTTTTAGGATTAGTTCTTTGCCGAACGAGGTATTTCCAAAATAAGGCGTTTTGAAAATGGGACATTAGGCGTTTTGGTTCTTTTTTCAGAGAGAGGCGTTTTGCGCAAAAGAATGCTTTTGACAACCACACTAATAACCTGGTCTCAAAGGAATTCTCTGTACTTTTACTAAAGAATTACCCGAAACACTCGGAGAAGCAATAAAAAAAATCATTTCCCAAATTGGTCTCATCGATAAGCAAAGCCGGGACCTATCAACTAAATGCTAAATATTGTC